ATTGTTTCCATTATACCAATAGCGTTTTCGTCATAAAAGTAGGTCACTAAAGGAACCCTTCCCCGCTAGAAAGAGTTTACGCTTCTGATTTGTTGTGGTTTCGTTCGTGGGACTGATCGACCAACGTGCGATTGTGGGACGAAGGGTTGGCAGAACAGGAAGCGGCCGTTGATCTTCGAGTTGCTACCGAAGGTCTCTTGCGTAGATCGGTACCATGCGAAACCACAAGAGTGGCCTGTATTCAGGATCTGACGATCGCGGTCCGGATCAGAAAACGCTGCAAACATAGGACGGAGCCAAGAAACCAATAGCCATCATAACAACCAAGTTCGAGACCAAACGTATACCAGACAGATTCGAAACCAGAATATCGACTGAGTGCATTGATAAGAGCATGGGTGATCAGGCCAGCTTTCGCAAAAATAAACTGAAGTCGACGGTACCAACAAAGCGATGGTCGGAGGCGTAGGCTCAGGATACAAAAAAATCAAAGAAAAAGAGAAAAGGCGTAGCATGCACGTAGTATAGGGATAGAGTCCTATACCGTATCCGTTGTTGATTAAGAGGTACTTGGTGACCAGAATGTGAGACGGTAGTCACATTCGTACATCATGAGCCCGAAATCTCACTCAGAGTTAAGGGCGGCGTGGTCTGCTGATCTAGACGTGAGACGGAAATGCAGATGACGCGTGCTATTGACCGGGATGTGAGAATGAGGTCTCTGATGTATCTAGCGTGGGATCTGAAGTAGATGAAGAGATTCCACTAGTAGATTTGATGGGTCTAGCATTGGGTCTCAACTTATCAGGCAGGGCACCGTCATTGTCGTGTGCTGGTTTGAGGCGATCAATGCTGACTATCTCGACGCAGCCATGTCGATCAATCTTGAAGGTCTTTTCGTGATGAGAAATCACAGGCAAAGGTCCTCCGTAAGGCTGTTGTAAAAGTTTGCGTACCGAATCTATTCGAATGAAAACATGTGAACAGGTAGATAACTTTCGAGTTAGAGCGACCTGTCGATGCTATATTCGAGTTGACACCGGAGGCAGTGTTCGCACAAATTCAGACAATCGTTAGACGTAGTCTGATTTACCAAAATTATTATTGCACCGTGGTGTGAAAAATTCCCCAGGCGGACGCAATGTCGTACCGCATAGAAGTTCAGCGGCGGAACATTGAATATCTGCCTTCAAGCTCGTCCTGATGCCTAAGAGGACGAGCGGTAAAGTTCCGCACCAATTGTTGTTTTCGTGTACTCGAAGAGCTTTTTTAGGTTGGCGATGGAATCGTTCAACCAAACCATTTGATGCTGGGTGGTAGGCGGTAGTGCGTATGTGTTCCGTACCAAGCAGCCGGGTCATCGAGCAGAATTATTCGGACTCAAATTGTTGTCCTCGATCAGTCATGACAGTCGAGGGACAACCGTACAGTGCTATCCATCGTTCTACGTTGCGGTAAGAAACTGTCTCCGCCGTAATAGACGTGATGGGAATAGCTTCGGGCCATCTTATAAAACGGTCGATGCACGTGAGTATGCGATCATGTCCGTGCGATGGTGGTAATGGTCCCTCAATGTCTATATGAACGTGATCAAAGTGAGCATCAGGCGTGGCGAACGTGCCAATGCTGGCAGCTACGTGCCTGTGCAGTTTTGATCGTTGAC